CCACCACCACCATCACCTTCTTCCTCGAACCCCTTTACCACATAATAGCCACCCATCCAACGCCAATGCCACCGCCACACTAGCCACCATCGATCGTGCCAATGAAGACCTCATATTCTCTCTTAACCTCATAATCAATCCCATCCCATATCTAGAATTTTTTTTTTTTTTAAATTCATCTCTCAACCACATAATCGATCACATCAAAGATCTAAAATTTTTCAATGGAGACCCAAATCATCAACAGTAACGCCTGGCCACATTGAACAACTAGCAAAATAGTGGTGGATTGTATTGTGTTTGTGACTGACAAGACAAATGAAGTAGGTCTATGAATTAGTTGATTTTTGTTAATATCTTTTTGGAACTTCTTTAGTTGATTTCTGGTGAATTAGTTGTGGGTTCTAGTTGTGGTGGTTCAATAGGTGGTCAGTGGCGGATCTAGGGGACGGCCAGCTAGGGCGGCCGGCCTAAGGGATCCACCGGTATATATATATATATATATATATTGTTTGTAATACATTAAATTTTTACTTTATATTTCTCATAATTAATTTTATTTTCAAACATCCCTTGTAGCTTGCTTGGTGAGAGTCAGTCATATCATACTTCAAGTCTTGTGTTCGAATCATTGTTAATGGATTTGTTATGTGTTATTTTTATTCTATAAATTTTACCAAAATTTAATAAAGGAGGGACAATGAGGATTTGAACCTGTGATCTCAAGTAAGGGTTATGGTAAACTTAACAATTATGGTACATCTTGAATTGTGTTATTAAATTTAACAAAATGATATTTGTTAGATTTTGATTGTTTAATGCAAACAATTTTAAATATTCGAATTCATACTCTTCCTTTGAATTATACAAAATTTGGCAATAATGTTATTTGATGAGTTCTATTTATTTTTATAACAGAATTATATATATTCAGTTTGAACAAAATAATTTTTATATTTATACTTTAGGCCTTGTTCGATTTCCTTTTTTTTTTAATCTACATTTTTCTTTTTTCTTTTCATCCATACGTTCTTCAATTAAATAATATTACACGTAAATTCAAAAATTTTCTTTATTTTTTGTCACATGTTCTCCATCAAATCACCATTCCAAAATGCATTTTTTGTAATAATAAAAAAAAAGATATCAAAAGGACTTTTAATATTTTATTGCGGCCAACGGTAAATGGTCAACGGCAGCCCGTACTGACTCAAACTCCTGGATTCGCCCCTGTAGGTGGTGATATTTTTGAGTTCAACCTGAAGTGGTAGTTCAACAGGTGGTGTTAGTGGGTTCTTGCTGTGACAGCTGGTGTTAGTGTTCAATAGGTGGTGGTGTTACAGGTGAATGGAATGGCATGATGAGATGCTATTGATGAGACGGAGAGCTGGGATTTAGGACGGTGCGTTATTTCGACAGTGGAGAGGCAATAAGTTGCAGGTGACGAAGATGGAAAATATAGTGTATGGATCCAACCCATGGTGTTTTGGGTTTGATTTTGGTATAGAAATTTGAGTGAGGCAACAAAAATGGTTAAGTTGGTGGTGTGAATAGCGAGATTCTGGTGGTGCCACCTCCTTAGAGGCAATTGTGGTGTCGAAGTCGTGGAGGAGGCGATGGTGATGGTGGAGGCGTTGTTAGGTGGGGGACGTTGACTTTGGGGTAAGGGGTTGGAATGGGGTCGATGGTGGAGGTGAGTGGTTTTGGTTCTTATTTTTTTGTTTTTTGTTTTTTGATTTATTAGTTGATATAATTTTATTTTTTTTCGAAAAATGTAAATTTACCACATTACCTTTTTATAAGTTGGTCAAAATAAGTCAAACTCTAATTCTCTAGTCAACTAAAGGTCAAACCAACGATTTTCATTCATTTGGATTCTAAGTGCGAATTTTTGAAAGGTATGATACCCATGACGTACAAATGAAAGGTTTGAATAAAATCTGCAAATAAATGAAAGATTTAGTACAGTGGTGCAATTTTTCCTTTTTAATATTAGGATAACTTTACTTTAATTTTCTGAACTCGGTATACGGGTATAGTATAAATATAAATAGCATAAATTTTTTTTTTAAATAGAGAAACGGTACAAAATCAAGCAATATAGAGTATTTAATGAATTTTCAACTTGCTTTAATGAATTATTTTGAAATATTACTTTAGATTGATTTGTTATTTATTTGTCAGTCATATTTAATAATTTTATTAATTATATAATAATATTTACAGATAATCGTAGCAAAAGCTCCAAACATTTGAAACACTAGCAGACTTTTTTCAAAATTTTCATTTGTTGTAGTTATCAGCCCTAACTTTTCAAATCGTTGCATGTAAGGCTCTTTTGGACAGTTTTCCATCCAAAATGTCATTAGCTGACCACCAAAATTAGGTTTTACCACATTTTAATCAATTTTAAAATGACAAAATAGTAACTTCCTATTTATCACGTTAAACAATTAAAAAACATAAATTAAAAAATAAATAAAAGAAAAACATAAAAGTCTCTCTTCTTTATCCATCCCCACTCCAAACCACCCCAAAAATCAAAATCACACAACCATCTTCAACTGTTAGCCTCGACGCCGATGCTGACGCCTCCTCCATGGATCTATAAATGGTGAGTGGGTTAATGAATTTTTCAAATAGATTGGCTGGAAGAAGATTAAACAAGAATTAAATAAGTTGTTTGGTGAGGATTAAAATTAAATTTTTAGTAGATTTTGATAGAAGTTTTTGAAATGTGTGGTTGAAAAGTTATGGGACCTATGAAAGATGTGGTTAATATTGATTGTTTAACTAAGTCAAACAGGGGCAAAAGCTTTCAATTGTTCAAGCTTGTCTAAAAAAAATTTTCGAATCAACTCCAGGATCTCCAAAAGAAAAATGGCTTCTTGTGGTAAAGGGAGGAGGTCAAATGGTCAAGAAGAGGAAAGCTTGCTACATGTATATGGTGGTGACGTGGGAAACCAAGAAGGTGATGAAAGAGGAGCCATGGTGAGGAAGTGAGAAGTATTAACCAGAATGTTGGTGCTGAAGAGGGAATCCTCCAGCAAGAAGTTGGTGGTGGACTATTGGGGATGCATAAGGTGGTGCAGGGATGAATGGAGGACTAGCTTAGGGTGTCACCACCGACATTGGGCTGCACAATAACATGGAAGATGAAGCTAGAATTATTTCGAATTTGTTATGACTTCCTGCGCAAAATCAAGGGGCAGTCTCTTGCCAGAAAGTCATGCTAAAGTTCACTACTTTTGTGTTTTTGATGGTCATGATGGTTCTTCCAATTAGATGGAATCATGGCGGCAAGTGGTGGTGGTGGCGGGTTTATTTTTCTGGTTTTAGGTTGAGGGGTTGGGGGATGGGAGAGAAATAGTTACATTTTTTTTTTATTGGTGGTTTTTGATTTAATTTTTCTATTGTTTAATGTGATAAATAAAAAGTTACCATTTTGTCCTTTTAAAATAGATTAAAATGGGATCAAACCTAATTTTAATGGTCAACTAATGGCATTTTAGATGAAAATTGTTCAAATGGGCTTTACATACAATGATTGGAAAAGTTAGGGACGATTGCAATAAATAAAAGATTTGAGGAAAGTCTATTAGTGTTTCAAATGTTTGGAACTTCTGTTGCAATTATTCCTAATATTTATAACGGTATTGAGATTTTCAACTGGCTTTAAACTATTTTATAATATTCGTTTATTTTGATTTTTTAATTATTTGTCGAACATATTTGGGAAAAAATATCATATTCAATAATTTTTCTAAATTTTATACTAAGATTTATAATGGTATTTTTTAACGAAAATGATTTCATATAAATGAAAAGTATATCTTGAGAAATAAGAAAAGAAAAATATAAAGTTTAATAACCATTTTAAAATAGAATAGAAGGGTAAAATGAGAAACGCATATTTTACTTTTAGTTGAGAGAGAAAATCTGTCATAAAAAAAATAAATTTCAAGTGAATTTTATATATGGACTCAAAATAATTGTATATATGGACTCAAAAGAATATGCTAGTTGCTGTACCTTCTTTTAATAAAATAATTTTATATATGGACTCAAAAAAATTTTAAAATTTTTTAATCACATATTCTTAAAAAAAAGATTTATTATTCACAAATTCTTTTCTATAAAAATCTGTACTAAACAGCTCGATGTCTATCATTAATCTACTGTATAGCTTCGGATCGGCCATGTTTATTTTTAGGCAAACAGCGATGAATGATCTTGAACACTGCCAAGTCCCCCCAACATAATAAATCCATGGAGAACAAATGACCAGTTGAAAGAATATTTAACAATTTTCATCTAATGCCAACACCTAAATTAAATGTTTGGAGATTTAAAAAGAATAAAACTGATATTAAATTCCAATGACGCTAACCAGCCAGCTAGCATTACTCGTCAGAAAATAAAAATAACGGAGATCCACTTGCTATAAATCAGAAAGTTTGATGAACCCCATCACCAATTTCCCCTGAATAAATTAATTAGTAGATGTGACAAGATTCCATCTAAAACAAGATGATAAGATCGAATGGCATGAAGCAACAGAAATGTTTCAAAGTCTTCATGGGAATCCACAATCCTACGAGAATAATGTACTGCCCAAGCTCTCTATATAGGAACCCTTATCCTTCTTAATTGATTCTCACAAGTAACACCTTTAATTTCCATTTTCATTCAACCACAATTATGTGTTCTTCAGTATCAGGAAAAGATCTGTCTAGTATTTCAGAAACCGAAAACAAGATAGAAGATGACATTGAGGATGAAGAAAATGAAAACCATATCATCACCACTCATTTGTACTTGAAACCAGCACACACACGTGATACACTTGACAAGAATGTCGTTCTCCGTCGCATTCGCCACCACCGCAAGCGTGTCAACAAGGTTAAGTCTGCCGTTCAAGGTCTTTTCGGCTCTCCCTTCTCTTCAAACACCAATAAGACTCCAAACACTCAAATCAAATGGGAAGATGATCCTTTTGTCAGAAAATTGGAGCAAGTATTGGATTGATTGATTCAATTGAGGAGTTACCCAAGATCGTATTAACCTGTAAAAGGTTCTATTGGGTCCAATTTGTTGCAATGACATCATTTCTCCCGGCAATTGGAGGCGAATTCATCTCGGGTGCAAAGTGAGTGTTTTTCCCTTTTTTTGAGCCTGAAAATTTGAATTGATGCATTATTTGATGATATGAAACCATGGTTAGATGTAGCTTGGAGTGTAGAAGAGACTAATATATGTTGATTGTGATGGGTGTTATTGAAAGGATTGTTGCCGCTAAGTTTTTTGGCCGCGAATGTTGAGAGGTTTGGTGGTTATCAAGGTGCGTTTGGGGGCGACGTGAGGCGGGGATGGAGGTCGGGACTGTTGGGCGGGTGAGGCTGAGACCGGTGGTGGTGACAACCAGCGGCCTAGGGGGCAGGATCGTGGCCGACGGTGGCGGTGGACGTGGTTTTGAAGTTTGAACTCAGTTCAATTTCTTCCTTCTTCTTTTTTTTTTATTTTTTGTTTTTTGTATATATAACATGTTTTAATTCAAGAAAATCCACGTGTATAGCATTTGCTTGACTTGGCACACATCAGCAAGCCGTGTCAGCATTTGGTCAATTTTTAAATGGAATTTGAGCTCGATGACTAAGGAGATTACAAAATGGAAGTTTAGTAATGAATGAGATGGTTTTTAAAGTTCAGTAACCTCGTAGAAATCTGGTGTAAAGTTCAGTAACTATTTGGACAATTCACTCCCCTTTTCATGTTTCGGTGATATTATGTTTCATATCAGTTCAATAACACGAAATGATTAAATAATATGTTTGTTATTTAATTTACTTGGAATTGATTAGCAATAATGTATATTAATCACTTACATCACTGGTTTTCGATCCCTCTTTTAATTTTAAAATTTCCAAGTGAATAAGTCACTTTTGTAAAGCCTTATCTCTAATGGAATTTCACCTTTTTGACTATTACTATATGCTGAAAATGGAATATCACTTTTTTTTTTCTTTCACTACTTTTGAGTTAGCATTTCATGATAATTCAAGATCTAGCAAGCTACTTCCACTTGAGTTCCGTTAGACAAGGAAAGGGAATGTAGGTAAGGGGAAGGTTTGCAAGTTGATGCTCCATAATCCGTGTTGAAAGATATCAAGTACGAATTTATTTTATTTTATTATTATTTTTTTTTAATTCATATCACCACAAAGAAAGAGGAATACGGTTTGACCAGCAAAAAGTTTGCCCATCTAACGACACATAGGAGATTATCATATATTCCCTACTTACGAATAAAAGAACCGAGCTCCACATACAGGAGCTCAATTCACAAGGGTCATACAAACCCCTCACTGTAGGAGGGTCTGACCCCATAGCAATTAAAGAAAAAAGGTGGGGCCCGCCCCATCTTCTCTCACATTTGGCAGGGCCTGTGAATACCTCAAGCTTTTTTCCGAATAAAATGACATGCTTTCACATAAAATAAAAACGAATGACAGCCAATGATTGAAATGACAATCATATGCAGATTATCTCCGGCTGGGGTGTACATGGGGAGTGGCTTGGGGGTCATCCCGACTTTTGGGCATTTATTTTTGGGAAAATTGCAGTCGAGATACCAAACCTTTCGTTTATTAGTAGATTTTGTCCAAACCTTTAGTTTGTACCACCTACAATTCCAAACATTTCAAAAATATGTACCGGAGGTTCAAATGGATGGAAACCGTCCGTTTGACCGTTAGTTGACCAAGAAAAGTAAATGTTGACCTATTTTTATCAATTGAAAAGGGTAAAAAAGTGAAAGTTACTTAACCCTATAATAAAACAATTAAAATAAATAAATAAAACATTAAAAAATATACTATTCATCTTCTTCTTCTTCACCCACCCCACCCCCACCCGCACGCCACCCTACCCCACCCCACAAAGCATGGTAAAATGGGGATTTCTAGGGTTCCTCAAGCACAAGCTCAAATCTAATCCAAATACAAAATCGTAGACTAGGTAAATATGCTCACGGGAAATTGAAATGCCAAGTAGTTTGACTATGCTCATGTAGTGGATTTTGCTAATCACCAACAGCTTCTCTTTAACACTGGAGGTTGCGGGTAGGGTGGCGTGCGGGTGGGGAGGTTGTGGGTGAAGAAGGAGATGAATATTATTATTATTTTTTTTTTATGTTTTAGTTATTTATTTTAATTATTTTATTATAGGGTTAAGTAACTTTTATATTTTTATTCTTTTCAATTGGTTAAAAATTGATCAATGTTTAATTTTATTGATCAACTAACAGTCAAATGGACGACTTCCATCCATTTGGATTTCGGGTGCGAATTTTTAAAAGATTTGTTACCTCCTATGGCACAAACTAAAGGTTTGAGCAAAGTCTGCTAATAAACAAAAGGTTTGGTACTTCGATTGCAATTTTCCCTTTATTTTTTTTCATTTTCTTTATTTTTATCTCAATTTTTGAAGTCATTATAGATGTTAAATAGAATTGAATTATTGTACTCTTAATAGCATTTCAAATAGCTCACGGCCTAGTTTCTATGTCGCTAATGCGGCAGGAAAATGTCACTCATTGTAAATGTTACAGCTTGCAAGTAAATCATTTCAAACTATTATTTCGAAAATTTTGATAACATGCTAATTTTAAAAATTCTTCGATGTTCGTACACTAATCAAATTCACAAACGTCATCTCAAAACTTGTTTCAAGAACTGTATTATAGACAAATCGAATGGTTCAAACATACATCATAAATAGTTAAATGTGTGTCAAATGTGAGTCTTAAAAAGATACGTCTCACTCGTTTTTTCTTTAAAAAATTTTCAATTATTTCATTAACATTAATTTTTGTGAGCGACAATTTACATCATTTTATTAGGAAATTTTATATGGGATATGACATCAAAAATTTTATAAATTTTACATTCGAAAAAGACATATACCATGTGAATTTTTCAACGTAAAATTTGGATGTAAATTTGCACGGAGTATGATTTATTTTGGATGTGCATTTTCCGACGTAAAATTTCTCATAATTTTTTTGAAAGTTTGATTATTTCCCCCTAATTCAAAATCTCTGCGTCCACAACTGCTCTCCAGTATGTGAAGATGTATGTGAAAGCTCACAAATGACTAACCAAGAGGGGGTGAATTGATTTTTAAAACATTTTCTAAAATTAATTCAGATATAAACCTATGTATCAACAAATACATCAATTAAAAAAATATAGGCAAATAAGAAAGCAAGTAAAGACTAAATTGATAAATTCAAATATTAAGTACAAGTATAAAAGCGATAAGTAAAAGGGAGAGAGAATAAAAACGATATAATTGTGGAGGTTCGATCTAAAGTAATGATTTATGTCCATTGTTACCAAACTTTCTGGCACGAGTAAGACATTTTTACTATGTTGATTGACTTATGGTGCACTCCAACCCTTTACAATGCTTTCAGTGAATTATAAATAAGAAGCACCTATCCTTTATAAAGTTGAACTTTACGGGATCTCAATACGACTCACTCTATTGAGCTTTACGGGACCTCAATACGACCCACACGATGACTTACAACAAGGAGCATCAATTCTTACACAATGTTGAGTTTTCCGAGATCTCAACACAACCTACACTTTATGAAAATGATTTTACAATCAAATCCTCTCTTAATAAATAATACAAAACAAATTAAATACAAAAAGAGGCTAACACTTTAATGAATAGTAACAAATTATAGTTCAAGTGTTAGATGAAATTTTTTTTATGAAAATGACAATTGAAAATTAGATTCAACCAATCAAAGTGTTTTAATTAGAATATGATGAAGAATAAATGTAATATAAATTCAAATAATATTCTCAAGAAATATTTTTTTTTTAATGAATGATTATAATAAATCAAGTACTAAGAGAAAAATTGAGAAACTTTGATGGAGTAAGTTCAAAAAGATCTTCGCAAAAAAATCTCTATTTGATGAATGAGTGTAATATATTTAGCACTAAGAGAAAAATAGGAAACTTTGATGAATAAGATAATTTTATAAATTTGATTCAATCAATCAAAATTTTCAATATAAAGAAGTTGAAAAGTTAATGCAATATAAGTACAACAATCTTCTTCAAAAATATATTTCCATTTTAAAATTAATATAAATAAGTTAAGAACAAAGAGGGATGAAAAACTTTGATGAGAGAAATTGATTCAAGGAATTTGATTTAACAATTAAAATTTTCAATATGAAGAAGTGGAAAGATTTATGCAGTGTAAGTGTAAATAACTTGTTCAATAATATATCCTCTTTTAAGAATGATATAAATAAGTTAAATACAAATAAAAATGAAAAACTTTGATGAGAAGGATGATTAAGGAGTTTGAATCAATCAAAAAATTTTATATAAGGAGACAAATGAAATGAATGCAAAGGAAAGCTCAAAAAATTCTTAAAACAAAAATATTTCACTTTTATAAACTTTAAATTCTTATGAAGAATGGAAAGAATGAGAATATTTATGGAGTTCAAAAACGTAAAAAAATCTGAAAGTTCGAAAGTTATGTTCGGTCAATCGCCTCTTGTCCGGAAGATCAATATAACTGTTTGTACAACAAAAAATAAATGCCAAAATAGTCAAATTTTGGACTGTTGGAGGGGATTCGGTCGACCGACTCTTTGGACGGTTAACCGCCTCGACAACGCAATCTTTTTACATTTTGGTCTTGTTTGTTCTAATTTGAAAGTTTTGAAGTGCATGGAATTTTGAAAAATATTTTTAATTAATTTTTCATGATAATTTTTTTTTAATTCCAAATATCACTTTTAAAAGTTATTTTTTATTTGATCAAAACGTTGCATTCGAATAACTTTTTAATGCACAAAAATTATTTTTAATACATAAAAAGATTTTGAGCTAGATCATTCATTGCCAAATATCAAAGTATTTAGTACATTTACATTTAACCTAAGAAATCAAGTATTTGATCTTCCTCTGAAGTTTGACTTTTAAATTATTGAATGTGTGACTTCGATCTTGACCTATTTCTTTGATACTGTCTCTCGTGCTCTTGATCTTTGTTCGTCTCGAATGATTTTATTTGAGTGCTTAATGCTTAATAGATTTTAACATAGAACTATCATCACTCAAAATAAATTGTTAGAAATAATATTAATCTTGTTTATTATGATCAAAACATTGAGGATCAAGTCGACCATAGATCAACAATATGTTACATGGGTTTCATGCCACCATGACAATTAAATCGTGACTAGGAATATATGGACATAATGCATAAATGGGGCTGAATTTTTTCCTAGTTGTATGGATAGTGTACATGAGAGTAATATGATTTGGATTTAGTGATTTGTAACAAGATTTTAAAGCTCGACAATGAAAAAAAAATTGCTGAATTGATATAAAAAGTTTAGATATTCATGCTGATAAGACGTTATGCACTAGAGAGAAAATATTTAGAATCAAAATCCCATATTTATAGAGAATAATTAAGGTTATGAGGGATATAACAGCTTTTAAAACCCCCCCCCCCCCCCTCTTCTTTTTTTGTCAATAATTCATTTAGAATAGTAATTTGATGGAGAATAGGTGGTTAAGAAATAATAACAAATATTGAGTTTGCGTGTAATATTATTTTATTGAAC